CTCGTAGGAAGGGAGGGAGTCGCGGCCGTCCCTCCTCAAGATAATCATCGTAGATTGCCTTCATTATCAATGTTTCTTACACTTGGCGAGTTTCGAAAATGCTAGTTCAACCAACCTGACATTTCTCTTTAAATCTTTAAGTTCGTCTGGATGCAAACATGATATCGGAATTACGTTTAAAGTAACATAAATAATCATTATTTCCTAGATAGTAATAACGATTAAGGAAATGTCTTAAGTTACCTATCGATCCCTTTAGCCAGTAAGACTATCTTTCAGATTCACGCGTGTTTCTTATTCAGAGAAAGCGATCGTAGTATATTGGTAAAATGATTTAAATAATGAATCAAACTCGTAAAATCCTGAAATTAAACAGTCCGTCTTTCAATGTATCCAGCCATCATCTTGCGTAATAATAACACAACGATCATAGCCGTTCAAAGACCTCACTCGTCATATCCGTCAATGGGAACGTATAATTTCAAAACAACGAGGTGGTAAGTCTTGGTGTTGCTGCGGGAGTCCCCTGGATCAGATAACGAGGTGAGTCACTACTGTCTCGTAAGTTATCGCGAGGTCTGGACGAGACTTTACGAGATCATTATGAAGGCGGAGTCTCTCGGGCGCCCACTAATGATATCAACACTTGGCTTTTGGCTGGGTTGAACATGTTTAGTATATCACTAATTATGCCCTGATCTTATGGACTCGGCAGTTTAGACGTGTAGGTGGACTTGTTGGTCGTGGTGGCTCAATGAAAGTCCCCTGGGGCTTATGGGACCTCTCGAGGGGGGGGGGGGCGTCAACACGAGGTAGACGTTTGATGGGGGTGAAGATACGTCTCAATACGTCATAATCATCCCATAACATGCCTCTTGGCGACTGTAAATTAACGTTAGTCGCTTATATACAGAAAATAAAGTTAGATAAGACTAAAAATAATTATTACGTCTGTTGTCTAATATATGTATCTGGCATGTGAGGAAAGTAGGTCGCAGTTTTTTTTTTATGACAACGATAGGAAATGAATTATTTATGAACCGTTAAAGAATCCCAACGAGTGAAATGTCTCCTTCCTGGCAGCGTCATTATCTCCCGTGAGTGTTGTGGATGTTGTACGCTTCTTCCGTCGACTCTTACACTACATTAGTTACCATCGGGAAGTTGTATATATCTCTGGCATCTCAACTCTCATCACACTATCACCAACACTAAAATTATCGGTCAGTTAGATTTTATGGCTTCGTTTAAGTACACATGATAAAAATAAACAAAGCCTAGAAGTGTTGCAGGTATAATTGTTTAAGAGGTTGTTGTGGACGTTTTATGCGCTGCAGATAAAACTCAGCCGTCAGAACAGTCAGTCCATGGAACAACCTGGTGGGTACCATTTACACCTGGCCTCTCATTCCTCAGCTGGGGGGGTTAACACATTACATCTATCGCGATGGACACATTACATCTATGGCGATGGAATGCGAAAGATGCCCAATTACGAAGTTCCAAACAAATTATCTTTACAGCGTTATTGTGTTACACCTTACTGAGTTGCGTCATGATGAATTGGTATTCCTGAAATGTCTTGGAATTTCTTATGCTGGAGTCACACCTGAGAATATAGCGACCTGTATTATATTCTCTCGCGTGTTTATAGATTGATATCGAAATGTCTGTCCAGGATGTTTATATAAGTCGTAAAAGAGACTTACCCTTTGGAAAACTGAGTACACCAGGTGATTCTTATCCACCTGAGGCTATCAACGCTTAGCACCTGTACAGTTGTCATGAAGGCCAATTATAGATTTACCTCCGTCGCTAGACTGTATGTGTTTATTGGTGTCCTAGTTTATGAGGCAGCCCGAGTCTTGACACGTGTCTACCATAAACTAAACACGACCTCACATTAAACCTGATAAGAGAAAATTATATTTGGAATAAATCAAACAGAAAAATATACATCTCTTTAATCAATAAGTTCACCGTGTAAATAGTCGATCAAATAAGATGTAAGTATTCCTCAGCGAAGTTCTCACTAGAAAGGAATAAACAACACGGGAAATAAATTACACATGAGCTATTTAAGAGGGAGAGACAGATAAACCTGACATCTGGTGGCTGGAGGCGACACCACACTAATACTCGACCCGTCATTATCTCTCATTACCTACAACGGTGACATTAACAGACTCTACTACACCCACCCACCCACCCACTCCAGACCGTCTTACCTCACACCCCCCGATGTTCATTTTACCTACAGCAGTTTCCTTCATACTATACTAGGCACCCTAACTCCACTAACTCCTTCATTTTCAGCACTGAATCGTCTACCTGAGGCATTAATGCATTCTCTTGCGGCATTAAATTGTTCAGGTGAGGTACTAACGTATTTATTGTGGGTATTAAGGAGGGAGGGGTGAGTGTGATGCAGGTTCTATGGTCTTGTGTATGATGGCGCCTGTAGGTAATGAGCTGAGGTGGATAATTCAACTGCAATGGTCTCGTGTTGTCTCTCTTGTTATTGTTCGTGCTTCTCTTTGTTTTTTGTTTGTTGTTTTTCTTGTTTTACTGTTGTCTTGATCTCCTTGTGGTAAGAGCTGTCACAGTAGATAGATAATTTGTATAAGTGTTTAATTTTTGTTTCGTATGCGATTTTGTTTCTCTTAATTACACTTTTTCTTTTGAACTTTTATTTAATTCTTTTCTTCACTTTTTGCTATGCGTTTTTATTCTCCTTCATTGCTTTTGTTTTCGTGTATTTTTCTGTAATAACTTTCTACGTTTCTTATCTTTCTCCAGGTGTAAGATCTTCCGTCTTATCAAAAAACTGTACCTTATCGATGTAACACTGATAAGGTAATTCAATCCGTGTTTTTAAGCTATTGAATTATCTGAGGCTTGAAAGTTATGCTTTAAAGGAGTCACAACACCATTCCATTAACACCACAAACATTTGGTGACAGTTTCTTAATAAACAAATAATCATCACTTTGATCAGGTTCGTACAGTCATCTTCACCTCAACATACAATGACGTGAAATCTCCGTAGAGTTAATCAGCCACAGAACCCGGTGTTAATATCCCGTAGAGTTTACTTCCGTCTTGCTACAATGACGCCGCTGTTTCCCACGCATCGTCGCTTGAACTTTTCCGATTTTGTGAAAGATTCTCATTACTCAGACGAAATAGGATATACTTGTACTTCGGAACAGTAGTCTGACGGTCCTCTCTGTGTTGTTTACTGAACAGTGAAGGACGAGTGTGAAAATGCGGAAATAATTCAACACACGAGACAAGATTGCGCGAGCGTGTCCCTGGAAGTCGTGGTGGTGGTCGCGTTCGAACAGGTGATAGTATAGTGTCCAGCATCCGGTGTTTTGTATGAGAAGAAAACTTCCTATTTCGTGTCTTTCTCTAAACTGTTGTTCTTTGTAACGCGCACTGACCGTTGGCTGAGCTCTGTCACGGTGAACTTTTGACTCATCCTGCTCTCATGGCTTTAAATATAAACGCCAATAGCTCCTGCATATATCACTACGTAAATTTACTTGAATATATATATATATATATATATATATATATATATATATATATATATATATATATATATATATATATATATATATATATATATATATATATACACATATAATAATATAATAATAATAATAATTAACGGTTTATTGAAAAGCTTGGCAGCCAGAAGGCTGAAAATATAGTTACATATTTGGGGAATGGGTTACGAATTACAAATAATATACAAGTGACATAAGTGACACAAATAAGACATATAGTAACTTAGATGGGGATCAGCTCAAACTACAGTTCATTTCAACATAGTGACAGTGTAGGGAGCAGTGTTTACTGGGAGTGAATACACTGATTTATTACATGTTATTGATAATTTTTACAATGGTTGGGACTGGGCTGTTCTTATAGCGATCAGTGTGTGTGTGTGTGTGTGTACGGATGTATGTATTGAAGGGATAAACACATACAAATAAGTAATATATACACCCTATAACCACTAACTTCCTCTTTCGTGTCCAAAATTCCATTCACACTGCACAAACGGTGTGAAATGTTACCGAGTGATGCCAGTAACGCGACCAACAGAAGCTACACTGAATCACTGTGTTACTTCTATAACAACCTTCGTAGTTTCGTCTTTCGCACTTTGCTTTTTTCGCTATGCTGGTCGATGATTTCACGTATTAAGCGTATCAAAAAATAAAGCTCTTTTAAACCCCGCATATCCTTCGCGTCGTACTCACTAAAGTAAGTAATGCCTTAGTGTATCCATCAGAGTAATATTATGATTTTATAAGGCAAATCTACATGCAAGTTTAAATACTCCGTCATATAGTCCCCTACTTCATCAGCTTGTGTTAAAAATAAGGTTTTATCTGGGTTCGAATGCTCGCCGAGGTTAGTTCAAGCTGCGGCCAACAGATGGTATTAGGATACAGTCTCTCGGGGTGAACCAGTTTTAAGTCGCGGGCTACCTGATGCTGCCATCTAGTGTGAAGGGAGGGAATCACCACAGCCAGTCAGTCTCTCTCTCTCTCTCTGATGGGAAACTATATCATTCTCTTGTTTATACCATGTTATATTATATAGGATTAATATATTTCTGTAACTAATTCGGTGCACGAGTATACGTTTCTTACAAAATATGAAAGAAATGAAAAGCAAGAGATATGTGTTGTTTTAGAAAGCTTAGTGACTGTGCAAGATTTACTTTATAAAATGTGATAAAAAAGTAAATAAAGAAGAAAAATACAACATGAGCTACAATACTTAGTTATTACTTCTGTCTCTCTCCTTCCCTCCTTCCTTCTTCTTTCCTTCCCTCCCTTTTCTTCATTCCTCTCTCCTCACCCTCACAATATAATGACAACTTCCATGTCTCTCTCTCTCTCCAAATATAATGAATAAATGTATAAATAACCATAGGTGTTTGTTGAGTGATTATAAAATTTAACTGTCTTCATTTTCAGTGTCTGGTCCCTATTATTATGGCGAGAACTCATCCAAAGGTAAATAAACACAAAGGGTTCAGTTTGCCTGCGCTTGTCTTGACGCTTCCCTAAAAACACTTGTCATTTGTTGATCTGTTTCGCCCTGTACTATATAAATGTATTTTCTCTCGTGTGGTTCTTTAATTATTATTTTTTTTTTTAGATTTGATCATTTTTACTTATACATTTTTTTTTGTTTTTCTCCTGCTTGATATTTTTTTCCTTGCATCGTATTGTAGTAGCGTGAGGAAAAACTCTACGGGAAATATACATAAAAACTTAATGTTAGAGGAATCACCACCACTACTACTACTGCTACTGCTACTACTACTATTAATACTACTACTACCTCCACCACCACCACCACTACTCCAAGTTCTACTACCACCACCTCCACCACTACTTCCGTGCGCTTTATTGCCTTCATGTTTTATTTGTTGTCTCTTGCACCTCCTCGTTACACTACTGAGCACGAGATAAACATTCACACGTCGTTTATACTATCTTACATATATAAATAATATTAATAATGACACTTTACTAAATATCACTCTACATAGATTTATATGCACCACACACACACACACACACACACACACACACACAGACTGACACACACACACACACACACACACACACACACACACACACACACACACACACACACACACACACACACACACACACACACACACACACACACACACTGACACACACACACACACACACACACACACACACACTGACACACACACACACACACACACACACACACACACAGACTGACACACACACACACAGACTGACACACACTGACACACACACACACACACACACTGACACACACACACACTGACACACACACACACACACACACACACTGACACACACACACACACACACACACACACACACACACACACACACACACACACACACTGACACACACACACACACACACACACACACTGACACACACTGACACACACACACACACACACACACACACACACACACACACACACACACACACACACACTGACACACACACACACACACACACACACACACAGACTGACACACACACACACACAGACTTACACACACACACACACAGACACTGACACACACACACACACAGACACTGACACACACACACACACACACACACACACACACACACACACACACACACACTGCAAGGGCTTTAGTTTATTTCATCCCAATTTTATGCACTAGTTCTTCACACCGAGAGAGTTCACACACAGCTTTTGTTCCGGAGAGTAGAGAGAGAAGGAGGAGAGGGAGGAGTAGGAGTAGGTGGCCTTGGTAGTACAGTAGTAGCGGTCTGCCTCCTCTTACCGCACCTCACAAACTGCACTGCAATACTGTTTACTCGCTCGCACCGCCTCTCATTTCCCACCGGTTTTATTTTGTGTAGATAGAGATTTAAAGGTAATATGAATTAATGAAGGGAAGTAAGATGATTAGATTGAAAAGTATAAGATATGTAACGAGGTAGAGGATAGAAGGTAATAGAAATTTAATGAAAGTAATTTGATTATTGGTGTTCCTAATATTGTTTTGGAATCTGTTTAGTATAGGAGTTAATATGAAGGGATTTTGTTTTTATGAGAGTTTTTGAATATTTATGATGAGACTAGTAGTAAATAATAATTTTTTGTTTGGTTATTGTCTTTTGCTATTGTTTATAAGATGATAATGATTGAAATGTGAATTTTAGCTTAAAGGAGAATTAATAGGTAAATTATACAGTGAATGAGGATAATTTCTACAGGTATACATCATTCATGAAGGGATTGTCTTAGTGTAGAAGGAACACAAAATGCATGAAGCTAATTTTGATTTACACGAATGCTTTAACCTTTAGATAAGAATTATAATAGTTTAGTTTATATATATTTCAATAGTCAATGGTTGTTTAGAAAGATTATTCCAGTGACATTGCAATATAGAGACTAATTTGTGTTATATATAATTCCATAAACTTCATATATGAATTATAGATATATGAAAGCTCTTAACTATATGCAAGACTATGTTAAATGAAAAAAAGGTATCATGAACAGAACGAGTTAGCAGTTTTTAATCTTCCATCGACACACAACCAAACCAACTAAAGGGGTCTTGTTCGTGGTACTCTTTTAAACATTGTGCCAATTTGTGGACGCTATTTAGAGGTATTGTTTGTGGTATTATTTAAAACATTGTGCCAATTTGTGGATGTTATTCAGGCAGGTAGGGGTTTTGTTCGTGGTACTCTTTTAAACATTGTGCCATTTTATGGACGCTCTTCAGGCAGGTAAGGGTCTTGTTCGTGGTATTCTTTAAAACATTATGCCACCTTTTGTGGACGCTGTAAGTTAATTCCGTTTTCTTTCTTTTCAGGTGAGTGTTAGTATTCCGACTCTTGTTCCACCTTCCAGCCCCGGCAGAAGGTAACCGTTTTCTCTTACAACCTGATCTACAGCTCGAGGAAAAAGAACGCATTTTCTTTTATAGTCTGGGAATGTTTGACTCCTTAGACTTATATAAATATAATCCAATTAAGATCCTCCCATTTTATAGATTAATTCTTGTTATAAGAGACAGATTTGATATTAATTATTGTTTGTGTTTTTATGATGAGATTATAAAGTAGAGTTTACGCGGGGGTTGAGTTATAATGGTGTATGTGGATCTATAAATCATCCTGTTCTGGCGAGCTGTAAATAAGGTCTTTGTGTTCATCTTGTTTTATATCTCTTATGAAATATGTGTCGTAATGTTTATATATACATGTCTCCTCCTCCTCCTTGTTTTAGCACAGAGACAACCTTACTTCCTAATAATTAAGTGTCCTCAATGTTACTTCAACTCCTCTGCTGCCACACAAACGCGCTCTCTCTCTCTCTCTCTCTCTCTCTCTCTCTCTCTCTCTCTCTCTCTCTCTTAATATTCCTCAGCTGAAAAATATTGCGTTTCATCTTTAAGAGGACTTGACAAATACGTAATGATGTGATACACTCGAGGGCCCTTCGCTTTGATGACCAATTAGCGCTAACTACCAAACTACCCGTGACGGTGGCCGTTTCTTCGGCCAAAACTGAGAGTTGGTTTCATTGCTTTGAGGCAATTAAGGCCATTAAGGTGTATCTGCTAAAGCTGTGTATTTTATTGTTTTTTTTTCTTAAGACATCTTCCTCCATCTTGGTTAATTCAGTTTAATTCTATTTTTCTTATGGAATTTCACGATTAAGTTTTGATTCATTTTTTGGTCCTTTAACTCTGAGCATTTTTGAGGGGGACGGAACCTCTTTTGAAATAATTATCTGTCTGAATTTATTCAACATTAGTGTCTTCAGTATGACCAGACAAGGCTTCCTGTAGTCTTAGCTTCATGGCGAGAACTGCCGAAATTACTTCTGGCACATGTACTGTATTTTCAATTCGTTCATCTGATCAGTCGATTTTTTTCCTGTTTATTTTCAAAGCGATACCTCGATAGACACACTACCAGCGGATAACCAATCACTCCCCAGCTCACCAATCACTCCCCAGCTCACCAATCACTCCCCAGCTCACCAATCACTCCCCAGCTCACCAATCACTCCCCAGCTCACCAATCACTCCCCAGCTCACCAATCACTCCCCAGCTCACCAATCACTCCACGATTTTAGAATGAGTTATGCCTTAAGTAACTCGCTCGTGTCTTGTTATAGTTACATGAGCGTCACTGAACAAGACTTCAAACAATACACTGATGTAATGAACTGGTGTAATATATTAACTCTCAGTGACTAAACAATATGCTAAAACAATTACACTGCGCTTACAGGATACAATATGATAATAAATGTTAAACAATATGATAAATCAATCCAATTATACAATATGTTAATACAATGTACTGATGCAATTTTCTAATACATTTCACTCAGATAATATTTGAATAAATTATGTCGAAGGTGTATAGTAATAAATTATACAATATATCGATACAGTAAGCTTATATAAGATGTTAATACAATAATGATTAGATATAATAGAATAATATGTCAGTTCTGTAAAATATTATGTCAGTAGAATATATTGATACAAACACCTGAGCATGTAAACTACTACCAGGTAACAACCAAGAAATAGTCAGCATCTGTGATCTAACTGGAACTGTTACTTGTGTCATGTGAGTTAAGTCAGATATATGAGGTTCAAGTCTTGTCAGAGTCCCAGTGTTGAGTTACAACTTGAGCTTAGGGATCTGGAGTCACAGCAGAACACTAATGAAGGGATTCCTGATTCTCCTGATTATGACTGACATAATGTTTTAAGGACACGTAAACCAACGACAGGATACAGGCCATCTTTCATGTCACCTGCTGTACTGAGGGGCGGGGGGGGGGGAGGGAAGGGGGAGGGGAAGGGACTCATCGGGTGATAACTTCATAAGTCCTGTAAGGCCGTATAGTGTTTTTTTTAATGTTCTTCGTGTTACCAGTGAAAGCCGCAGTGAAATATATCTAACCCGGACTCAGCATGCCTCTTTGCCTCTCACTACGGGAGGTAGGCCTGCAAGCGGGGCATCGAGGCATCGGCTGGAGGTTCCCGTCCTGTGGAAATCTTTAAAAGGCATAATAAGAGACCTACGTGAAGGCGGCAGTAAGATATGTCAGGCCCCGGCCCGGCATGACACCGACAGCCCCCCATGTAACACGTCATGACCGCATGTTTTAATGGGTTAAGAGTCTGCATTTTATTGTATCGGCACAGCGATAAGTCTGCTGGGTTCCTTTGTCTTAGCGAGACGAGTAGGGAACATGGCAGTACCTTTTATATTAGCGTTGGGGGCCACTTTCACGGAGATTATCTACAGTCAACATTGCACGACCCGCTGTATCGACGATGCATTAAAAGCTTCATTGTATCCCGCGCGCCTCGGTAATATTAGTCTCATTATAACAGCCATTAAGCGTTTTTGAAATCATGTAATAGTGTTGGACACGATGTTTGGTCAGGCGAACAGTCAGTCACTGAGGTATGGCTGATTTTCACCATGCATTCAATAACACCATAATGACGTAATTATACCGTTGTAAAGAGACAGTTACACGCACTTTTTTTTCTACGAGATCCATTTTGTGTACTATGGAGCAGTTGAACCTGAACCTTATGGCGTAGGTGAATTGATGTCAGATTTTTAGTTGTATCTCCCCGCTTAACCTCGCCACATGGGTAGATTTTAATGAACCGTGTAAGTAAAGGGGAGGAAAAAAGTTTATAATATTAAAACTAAACCAGATTTCCCTCACCATATGTGTAGTTGTTGCACATGAGACGCCATGATACATCTTTGTCAGCTTAGGCTAAACAAAAAAAAAGACTTTAGGAATTGAAATACGACAGACTTAAACCTATAAATTTCCGACTGTCGCCTTCATGATGTTGCCAAATGCAGTGAGTTTCATATAAAGAACACAATAAATGAACCCCTGTCTGCAGGGAAGAAAAACACACGTTGAATTATAGAGCAGCAGTCCAGCAAACTCTTGAAACAAACATGGAAGTCAGGTCTGTCTCGATCCTAGAAATTATTACATCCTCAGTGCGTCATGAAACGTTTGGTGTTGACTGGCCTGATAATGGATGGTCCGGTGCCACTCTGTGAGGCACTAAATGGCACATATGAGCAGCACATGGTAGGCACTGGGGCGCAGAAGGTCTCACAAGTGATTACTGGGCGGCGGTAACGTTGGTGCCGGGTTGGGGGGTAAGGGTTGGTGGGTGGTGGTGGGTGGTAGTGATGGTGGCGGCGATGAGTGGTGGTGGGTGGTAGTGATGGTGGCGGCGATGGGTGGTGGTGGGTGAGGGTGATGGTGGTGAGGATGATGGTGAGGACGATGGTGGTGAGGATGATGGTGAGGACGATGGTGGTGGGTGATAGTGGTGGTGGGTGATAGTGGTGGTGGGGTGAATTTAGACGGTATAAGGGGCGGGGCCTCAAGGCGCGTAACTATTGGAAAACTAAAATATTAACGTGAGTTTGTTTACCTACACTGTCTATATGAGCCATAAATACTTGGTGGTGTATAATCGTTGGCACAAAGTCTTCCTAACAGTGCCACCATGACCTGACATTCCCACCATGACCTGACAGTGCCACCATGACCTGACAGTGCCACCATGACCTGACAGTGCCACCATGATTGAGTGTCTTCTTCCCATCCTATCCTCACTACCCCAACGGTGCTACATCCTACTATGGCACTCGACCCTCCCCGCCTGGCACCGACCCATGACATGTTCTTCGCCCGCCCGTGTCGAGGGCGGCGGGCGGCATCTGTGTCGGCACCTCAGCCACCCATCCGCCCGTGACCGCCCACACCCATACTCGATAACGACGTCACTTTGAGGCCCTCGCCGCCCACCTTCAAGTCCTGGGTGGTTGGGAGGGACGCCGACGACCACATGGGCATAAGACTGGCTTTAATGATTCGCCACAGACTGTAACAATGACAAGAATGATCGTTAACACGCAACGCTCTCCATAAACACATTCGTCTTCTTTTGTTCAGATAAAAAATAACACGTGACGGAGGTGGGATGAACGAGGCTCATGAAAGCTACTTTTAGAACTCTCACACACAGAAAATGGCGCTAATTCCCAGAAACAGTTAAGACATTTAATTGACGCTCCCCTAACTTGTCAAAAGCGTAACATTAAAAAGAAACTTAATCTTGCGATCCTTCTCCATCGAGGGGAATTTTCCTCTGAGATCTCAACATTTGCTCGTCTTACTGGACACATATGTGAGCTCAACTTGGCTTAATTACCCCTCAATTTGACTCTCAGCGGCAGAAAAACAAACCCACTCCACACACAACCCCTCAGAGCCAGCGCTCATGTAGCAAAAAAATACAGAGTCGAGACTAAATTTGAGTTTGACTAATAGCTCTCCTCGAGGGGCTGGTACCAGTCATTTATAAGACGTTACGAGCGGGGCTGTTTCGTTTACCCGGCCAAGACATCGAGTCACCTGTACACACTTCCCGCTGCCTAATGAATGGCTGTGGTGCTTGAACGGGAGAACGGCTTTGTTTAGTCTTTTTGTGGTGCTTCGAGGACCCCGCCGCTGCTCACGGGCACCTTTGTTTTGAGGAGGAGAGAGAAGGGTGGTGTTATTTTCCGCGTTTAATGGTTCTTTAAAGCGGAGTGTGTGATGATACAATGCTGGAGGGGGGAGGGTACTGAGTCACTGTACTCAGTCACACGGTTCTTCACTTACACCTAACGAGGTGAACTGTTTGCCTCTTCACTTACTAATGACAACTAAATTTTAATCTAAATATATTAGTGCAATAACCTCGTATAATTAGTAACTCTTCTCGCCATGATACCCACAGAGAACTCCCCTCA